ATTTTTTACCGTTTTTAGGATAGCTTAACATGGTCGTTTTTATGAAAATATTAAATATATAAAAATAAATCCGAATCGAAATATTAATTAATATCGTAATAAAAAGTTGTAAAAACAATTCGGAAGTGTGTCCATACATTTTTTACTGTCAAAAAACTAAAATACGTTTAAAAAATCGAGCATGCTGCTAAAGTTGAGATCAGGGGGGTGAAACTCATATAGGAATATGCGCAACAAGCGCCTCCCGAGCAACGTTGCCATATTTTCTTTTTGTGACTTAAGTGATCTTTTTTAATAATTATTTTAACTGTCAGTTTTGACTTCTGTCAACAATGGAAAGAATATTGATAACGGTAAAGATCTATTTCTAAGCTTTTAAGTATTTTTTGAGTTTTTTATCTGTATTGCTTTCCCTTGAAGTTACAGTAAGTATATACAATAAATCAGTTGCTTTTATAATGTTTTTTTGGAGATTGACATACCTATTAAATAATTAATTTGTATGTAATTTATTACGATTAGTTTTTTTGCAAAAACCAATACTACTTAATAATATTGGGACATTTGCTTTAATATAAGGACTATTGTTGTTTGAAAGTAATTTCCAGCGTACTGATGTCCCTGGTGGAAGAAGTTATTGAAATTTTTACTTTTGTTAAAAAATGTAATGCATTAATGGACATTAACATTTTTTAATACATGTATGTTTTTTTTGGGCCAAAACTGATGCAGGAGGGAAGTTTTATACCTTCTTTCACTTCTGAACCCATTCAAAATACAGATGCACTGTTTGTATATTCTTTAATTTATTTTATTGTTAAAATTAGTGTATTATAACCATTTACTTTTTAAAATAAATAAATCTTTGCAACTATTTTATTTTATTAGTCAAATTTAAATAAATTAATATTATAATTATTAATATATACAAAATAGATAAAGCCGGCCCTGTAGTATAAAAGTTAAAAGTTAAAAATTAAAAGTTAAAAGTTACTTGGAGTACGGCCCTAATTGGCAGGCGTTTATGACGTTTGTGTTGCTTAAGTTTAACACAGTAACTGTTGTCGCCCTTCTTATATTCTTTTTCTATGGTTGACATAAGTCAAAATATTTGTTTATATTGTTGGTTATAATAATATTGCGTTACTTTAACCTGTATTATAATACTGTATGTATACTCTACAGTTTATAAACACACTAGAGTGTGTTTGTGTAAAATGAGTTTGTCAAAGGCGAAAGCGGGATCTCATGAAGAAAATCGTTTTCGCATATGTTTTATGTGCCAAGAAAAACCGAAAATTGTTATCAAAATAGAAGGACTGGTAAAAGAACGTTTGGGGAAGATTTTAAACAATATTGACTTTTTGGATGAAAGACTACCTGCAGTGATATGCAATACTTGTAGAGTAAAACTTATTAAATGGAAGAAAAAAAGTTCGCTAAATGGTGATTTTAATTTGCCATTGCCAGACTATACCTCCTTTGAGCCACTTAAGAAAATAACAAAGTCTTGTGGAATAAACAATATTTGTGATTGTTCTTTGTGTTGGCTGGTAAGGTCAAAAGTAAATTATATAGCTACTTATAATACTAATAAAAAGAATAAAAATGCTCAGAAAAAAGTTTCTGAAAGAAGACGTACAAGTTGTTTAAAAAAGATAATTCGCGGTATTAACGATCATTCTTGTAACTCTACTGGATTGGTAGAAAACATAAAAGAAATTGTAGCCTTAAAATGTGATCCGAAACAAAGAGAGCAGGTTGTTTCAGTTTTAGTTAAAAGTAATAATGTTCAAGTTGATTCTGCTGGTAAGGAATCTATTAACTCGATTTCATTGTCACAAATACGTGGTAATCCGTAATAAATAAATAAATAATGTAATGCCCGCTAATCATCTATTGCTCTTACAAGAAAATTATAATTTTAGTGATCGTGAGACAATAGGGATTGCTAAAGCTTTTCGCAGTGGTTTAAAGAATAAAAGAATTATCGAAAATAATTTTCAAGATAAGGTAAGCAAAAGTGGTCACGTATTAGACGATTATTTTGAGTGTAATAAATTTAATGTTGTTCATATTAATAAAAACATAGAGACCAAAATACCAGAAATTACAATTATTTGTAAAGATTTGGGAGCATTTATACATTACATAACTCAGAAAATAAATATTTATGATTATAATTTGAAATTTGGTATTGATGGAGGAGGGGGATTTTTGAAAATATGTCTATCTATTCAATCAAAAAGCATAGAGACCATTGATATTTCTTACAAAACAAAATATACTAAAAAATTTAAAGATTCAGGGGTTAAAAAAATATTTATCATCGGTCTTGCTCCATCAACACAAGAAAATTACCACAACGTTTCACTGCTTTGGTCAATCTTAAAAATTAATGATTTCCTTGATACCTTAGCTACTGATCTTAAACTTGCTAATATCATGTCAGGATTGATGAATCAAGTTCTCATCCATGTACCTGGTGCGATATTTCGAGTGATAGCTTACATACTTGCGGCATAAACCGAACATTTGGACAATGCAATAAAAATTATCAAAATTGGATTTCTAGTAGAGGTGACAAAAAAAATGAAATTTTTTTTAAAAATTGTATTAATACTCCCTTATACCATACTAAAAATGATAACGAAGAACTCATAGATATCCTGCCACCTCCTGAACTGCACTTATTATTAGGTGCAGTAAATACCAGGGACCCGGACCGAAACCGAAAAAAACCGAAAACCGGAACGGAACCGGTTTTTTTTTTCCGAACCGAAATCCGAACCGGAACCGTTTTCGCTTTTGATAAAATCTGTTGGACCGGAACCGAAACCTTTATTTGCTTTCATTCTAATAACATTATATAACATATATATATGTGAGGTTATAGATTAAAATTACGTAAAACAAATAACCTCACTGGAACCGCTTAAAACCGAAAAGAACCGAACCGTTATAACTCCACGAAACCGAAACCGGAATCGGAACCATTAAAACGAAAATAGGGTGAACCAAAACCGTACCGGAACCGATATTTCATTTCGGTCCGGGTCCCTGGTAAATACATTATTCAAATATATTATGCAAGAATGTGAAGCTGTCAGTTTATCGTGGGCGAAGCACTGCAATATAGAACGAAAACATGCTCATGGGGGTGAGTTATCATTTGAGGGAAATTCCTGTAAATCACTTTTGAATAATATTGACAAATTAAGGCAGTTAAGTGACACTTCTGTAGAAGGTTTAAAATTGGTAGATTGTTTTCAAAATTTAAAAAAAGTGGTAAATTCTTGTTTTTCAACAGTGCTGCAAACAGAATATGAACTTGAGATAGCAAATTTAAAAAAAAGCTATACCTATATCTCTGGGAATACCCATCACTCCCAAAATACATGCCATGTTTTTCCATGTAACGGAATTTTGTTCTAGAACAGGAATCGGGCTCGGATTTTATAGCGAGCAAGCAATTGAATCTTTGCACCACGATTTTTGTGAATTATGGAATAATTACAAAGTAGGTATTAAAAATGCATCAAGACTATGGGATAAAATTACTGAGAACTGTTTGTCGCTACAATAGCAGACAATTTGAGAAAATATAATATAATATGTGCCTAAATACTGTGTTTCTTTTCAATACTTTGTTTCAATGTTATTTGTTTTCCTAAATTATATTTAAAGGCAAGGGTACAATTATGTTTGATAATAATGTAAATAATAATTTATTTATAAGTATATTTAATAAGTAAATAATTAAGGACTTTTTTTGATTAAATTAATGTTGTAAAACCAAGATATGTTAATAAAAATTACTTTTTTATGCCTGGAAAAATACTTACCTTTATTATAAAATTTAATCGTGATACATTAAATACGTATGTGCGAAATACTTACATGTAGTGCACAAAATACTAACTGTATACATACTGTATAAATATTTATAGTATACATATATGTAAGTTTAAAATGTCTTTGATACTTTAGTTGTTAAAAAACGTACGTATACTCTTTCGTATTGCTTTTACGATAGTTTGTTACAATATAAATTGATGTTTCGATTTATTTTTATAAATTCAATATTTTCTTAAAAACGGCCATGTTAAGCGATCCTAAAAATACCAAAAACTTACTCTTATTGTTGCAACAAATACATAAAAACAAAAAAAAACATGAAACTTATCTTTTCATTTAAAGCTGTTTCCCGAGCACCGTGCTTCATATTAAAAAACTAAGTCATTAGTCATTATATTCTGTTTAACACTGGAAAGAGCAGAAAAATGTAGTCAAAAAATGTGTTATGTAATTTTAAAAAAGTGGACTTAATACATTTGGGATCTGGGGTACATAGGCTTTTTTAGATAATCACTTGTTGCTGTTATCTTCCTATTGATAATGGGTTTGAATAAAGTTTATTTTTTATTACTTAAAACTTTATAAGTTACATCTAGACTAGGTTTAGGAAGTCACCACAGTTACCAAATTTAAAATAAAATAAGTAAGTAAACACCACCGACGGTGGTCTAGTCGTCAGTGCTGCTGACTAAAAACCGAGAGGTCGTGGGTTCGAGTCCCACTTTGGTGTGGTTGTTTATTTTTGTTTGTCCTATTGTATATTAGTCCTTCGGAAGGGACTTTAAGCCCGCGGTCCGTTCCTACCCCTAACCCGCACAAGCCATTCAGTTGGCTTCTGGGACTTCTTAGAAAGTAAGGATGGAACTAAAAAAAATTGTGAATTAAAAAAAAACACGTAATTTACCAAATAAAATAAGGAGGAATTCTTATAATATCCGAAAATAAAAAATGATTTAAAATTTACAAACCTTTAATATAAATTTTTGTTGATGTTCTGTGTAAATACGCATTTATATTATATTATGCGTATGTCTATGCATATTAAATATATAAATATACAAATTTTATCATATCACAACCTTCACAACAAAGAACAACATCAACAAAGTTCAATTTTTTACCAATATTTTATTTTGGTAGTAATGATGGACCTATCTTCAATTCTTAACACAGTTTGTTCGTTTTTGGGCTCAGGTAAAAACTATTTTTATAAGTTTTAAATAAAAATGTGTAACTTTTCCAGTTCCTATATTATGTCCACCCGAAGCTGCAGTTTATTACTTTTTATTTACGAGGTGGGTATATAGTTATACATTTTATGATTTGGTTACTGATGTTACATATTTTAGATTAAACCCAAAATATCATCAACAGTTAATATTAAATGAAGATACTATTCTCAATGGGTCTAATATCGATTTTAAAAAACCAACAAAAATGTACATCACAGGAACATTTGGAACCTATACTTCCCAGGATTCTCAAGCAACTAAGAATGGTAAATTTATGTCCTAATGAATTATTTTACTACATTATAAACTTTATAAGGTTTTTTTAGCATACTTGGTTAACCAGGATTGCAATATGATTTTGGTAGATGCATCAGAAATTTTAACTGGGATAGACCTTCGGTCAGGAGCTTATATTTTAGCTGAGCCTGTAGCCCTAGAAGTGGCTGAGTTCATAGACTATATGGTAACAAAAGGATTGAAATTGTCTGACCTAGAACTTATTGGTCTGAGCTTGGGAGGACAAGTTATAGGTCTGGCTGCAGCTGCAGTTAAAAGTGGAAAAGTTGGTAAAATAATGGGTAAGGAATTAAGAGAATTAGTTGGGTCATTTAGAATAAATATATTTTTTGTGTATTATTTGTAGCTTATGATCCTGTTGGCTTGGTTTTTAACGGTTATCCGCCAAGTATGAGACTTGACGAAACCGATGCAGAATTGGTCATAGTGCTTCATACAAACCCACAAGAATGGGGTTATTATGGTTCCTGCGGTCATATCGACTTTTGGGTTAACAGAAACTTAATAATTCAACCCGGATGTGGTCCAGTGGAATCCGTTTTAAGAAGTGTTGAGAATTTAGCTGATCTAAGTAAAAAAGCATATTAAATTATCCGTTTAATATTATTATTATTTTCTAGTTTCTTGCAGTCATATTTATAGTTTTCGTGTTGCGATTTATGCGCTTAACCATTTCAATGCATATCCAGCTTTAAACTGTTCTAGTAGTAACGATTATGATAATGGGATATGTTCCAATAATGACCTACAGTATGTTGGGGATCAACCAACACCAAGGTAGGTTTTTAATACTTATGGTTCTTAAACCTAAGTACGATTTTGATCTCTATAAAAAGCATTTGTTAGTAGCTATAGGAAAAACATATTCGAAAACTGCTTTATTTTATTTTGTATTTTGTCGCCAAGGCCCACCGTGTGATCTTACCTAACAGTAACCTAACTAACCTAAAACAAAACAAATTAGTGTCTCGTGCCCACGCCTACCAAAAGTCTCATTCAGTCATTAAGTGCAAAGAAGCGAAATTCTTTATTTACTTAATTTCGCGCGAATATTATTATTTAATAAACTGCTCGTTTGAAAGCTTGTTATTAGAAAAATACTATATCGATTTTGAAAATCTTTGGAAATTCTGAATAGCTGATTCTTTGACTCTTATGTCTAATTTTGGGAATACGATATTTTGCACATAGCATTATACTACAGGGTGTTAAACAAAGAGATGTATTTTTTCCGAAATTTCAAGTTATTTCCATTCATGAGGCAGTTGAGTTTGATAGTCGTAATACCCCTCCCTAATATAAGTAAGGTAATCCCTCGGAACGTTTTCGAGATTTTGTGAATATCGCGGCTTACTACGATTATATGCCAATTTTTTGAAAATTGTCGTTATTTCCCAGTTTAGTCCAAAAAATGAGCAATTTTGGATTCTTTGACTTCCGTCTAATTTTGAGAATACGATATTGTGCACATAGCATTATACTATAGGGTATTAAAAAAAGGGATGTTTTTTTCCAACATTTCAAATCCCCATTTACAGGGCAGTTGAGCTTGATAGTCGTAATACTCCTTTCTAATAACAGTTAGGTTATCCCTCGGGACGTTTTCGAGATTTTGTGGATATCTTGGCTAACTACGATTATATGGCAATTTTTCGAAAATTCACGTTATTCTTCATTTTAGTCCAAAAAATGAGCAATAGTTGATTCTTTGACTCTTATGTCTAATTTTGGAAATACGATATTGTGCACATAGCATGATACCTACTACAGGGTGTTAAAAAAAGTTATTTTTTTCCAAAATTCCAAATTCCCATTCACAGGGCAGTTGAGCTTGATAGTTCTAATACCCCTTTCTAATAACAGTTAGGTAATCCCTCGGGACGTTTTCGAGATATCTTGGCTAACTACGATTATATAGCAATTTTTCGAAAATTGTCGTTATTCTCCACTTAATTCCCAAAAATAAGCAAACTACTAAAGGGATCGATTAGTTATCAACACACCGTTTTCCCAATTTGCATGTTCTTGTGCCCATCTTCTTCTAGCAGAAAAAGAGGGCAGGCAGCTCTTCGTCTTGCGTGGTATGCAGCGCCGGATTATAAAAATTTGCGCCCCGGGTCTAATAAAAATTTTCCGCCCCTACCTATTATATAATAAATTCAAAGAAATGTCACTTCTTAACAAAAGGATTTTATTTAACCATAAACATTAGGGTTGTAGTATTTTATCGAAATTTTTTTCATTTTGGAGATCAAATAAAAAAAATAAGTCTAAAGTATTTGAGTTTCAACAGATAAAAAAATTTTAGACGTCGCTCAAAACTTTTTTAAACCAACCTTTTTTCTCAAAATCTTTGGCTTCTCACTATTTTTTTTGTAGGTCGTATAGGAACATAATACATTTTTAAGTCAAAATATTATTGGTCACTCAATATTTTTGAAATACATTTCTTGATTTTTTTAATAATTTTGATCTTGTAACCACTACTATTTTTCCAATTTAGTTGATTTTTTTGAGCGACGTTTATTTTTTTTGAGTTGAAACTTGAATACTTTAAACTTAAATTGTTTCATGTGAGCTCCGAAATAAAAAAAAAATGTCGAAAAAATATTGCCACCCTAAAAACATAAACAAAAACTATATAAAAAACAAATACCTAAATAAGAAAATTAACATTTTGCCAACTCAACTTTGCGTGCTTTTAGAGAAGCAAATTTGTTTATCGCAATATTGACGTCATCTTTAAATAGGCTAATACCTATACTGTATATATACTTACATATATATATATATATATGACTGGTACTGTATATAACTATAGTTTTAAACTAAGTAATTTAAATTAATAGTTGTTCGTAGTGTAATAAAATATTCTTATATTAAAAAACCTTTACGCCCATACGCATCGCATCGGTGGAAATAATCAATTTCTGCAAACTAAAGTTCTTGTCGCCCAACAACTTGTCGGGCGCCCTACGTGACATGACATATTTCGTATACTATGCATAGATAATAATACTATGGCAACAATCACGGTTATAATTTAAATAATTTTTCTTACTACCTCGACTCAAAATACGTTGTTTCGTCCCCGATTCCACGGCAGAAAGTTTACGTTTTATGCATTGGTCAAGCTATACGCGCACACTCTAATAGCGGGAGTAAAAATTTTTTAGTCGTGTGCTTAACATTCAAATTTCGTACTGCCAACATGAGAAACACAAAAATATGACAGTTTTAAACCATAATTTTGCAATTATAACAACAAATAAACAATTTATGTTTTTACTTTTTTACTTTTTATGTTGTTTTAAGTGTTTAATAGTACTTTTATTTGTTATAAAGTAGTAATTTGTTAATTAAAATACAACCTTTTATTTTTACTGTATTGGCACCGCTGAATTCACGGCCTACTGTTATTTATTTATCAAGCTCTTCAAATGGAGATAGGTACATAAATACACATTTAATTTTTTCCCGTATTTTCGGCCGAGGTAGTAAGAAAAATAGTACTGTGTGACGAAACAATTGTCAAAAGTAAATAAAACTCGTGAAACTTTCAAAACATATTTGTTTTTTATATCTACATAATAATAATATGGAGTTTCATCAAGTAAAGGTCGAAACAATCAAATAAGAAAAATAGTATACACTACACGGGCAGAAAGGAGGCAGGAATCTCACACTTTCTGCCCTTGTAGTGTAATATACTATTTTTATTAAAACTGATTAATACACGAAAAATAAAAAAAGGGGAAAACCCTTTAGGTTGTAGTAAAAAACAAAAATTACCAGTCAAAAATTTTGCGCCCCCTGTAAGCTTGCGCCCCGGGTCTATAGACCCCCAAAGACCCCCCCTAAATCCGGCGCTGGTGGTATGCAACCTTACACCCGTCATTTTTTTAAAATGTGTTTTGATTTTTGAAAAATGTTTTCATATTCGATGACAATTGAAGGGAGGAAACTCAAAACCAGATATGCGCCATATTTTTTAAACTTTCATAGTCAACCGTTCGTAGAAAATTGCATGAATATTGCCTGCATAAGTTTACGAGAATAATTTTGCTTGGTTTGCGTTTTTATTTTGAATTTCACCGAAAAAAATGCTTTTGTGTGAAACATTTCACTTTTAATGAATCACGAAACGTACATTAACTGGAAACACGTGACCTACCTTAAAACGCTGTGTTGATACCTTCTGTAGTTTGCTCATTTTTGGGACTTAAGTGAAGAATAACCTGAATTTTCGAAAAATTGCCATATAATCGTAGTTATCCAAAATATTCACCAAATCTCGAAAATGTCTCGAAAGATTACCTGTTATTAGGAAGGGGTATTATGACTATCAAGATCAACTGCCCTGTGAATGGTGACTTGGAATATTGGAAAAAACATCTCTTTTTTTAACACCCTGTAGTATAATTCTATGTGCACAATATCGTATTCCCAAAATTAGACGTAAGTCAAAGAATCCATTATTGCTCAATTTTTGGACAACTGGGGAATAACGACAATTTTCGAAATATTGTCATATAATCGTAGTTAGCCAAGATATCCACAAAATCTCGAAAACGTCCCGAGGGATTAACTAACTGTTATTAGAAAGGGGTATTACGACTATCAAGCTCAACTGCCCTGTGAATGGGGATTTGGAATTTTGGAAAAAAACATCTCTTTTTTTAACACCCTGTAGTATATGCTATGTGCACAATATCTTATTCTCAAAATTAGATGGAAGTCAAAGAATCCACTATTGCTCATTTATTGGACTAAACTGGGAAATAAAGACAATTTTCGAAAAATTGGCATATAATCGTAGTAAGCCTCGATATTCACAAAATTTCGAAAACGTTCCGAGGGATTACCTTACTTATATTAGGGAGGGGTATTACGACTATCAAACTCAACTGCCTCATGAATGGGAATAACTTGAAATTTCGGAAAAAATACATCTCTTCGTTTAACACCCTGTAGTATAATGCTATGTGCAAAATATCGTATTCCCAAAGTTGGACATAAGAATCAAAGAATCAGCTATTCAGGATTTCCAAAGATTTTCAAAATCGATTCAGTAATTTTCCAATAACGAGCTTTCAAATATTTTCCAAAAAACTAGGTGCGTCGATTTTCATGACGAGCAGTTTATTAAACTATTGTTATTGAGGGGTTGTTGAGTAAAGCGATATATAGTTCGGACACTTAACTTAAAATATGTTCAATGTTTCAGTTTCAGTTTAGTTTTTGACAATCACGTGCTTGATTGTATTTGAATCGGTGACATTTAGAAAAGTCCAAAAGTTAAAATTTTGACAAATTATTTCATAAAATCAGTTTTATAGTAAAAAATGCATTTTTGTGGGAATATTTAAACTATTTTATAAAATAAAATAACTATATTTTGTAAAATAATTTATATATTCTCCTAAAAATGCGTTTTAAACAAAAAGTTTGATTTTAGAAAATGAATTAAATTTTTTGGACTTAACAAGTAAAATGTCAAGGGGGTACCACAAAGCCAAAATATATGTAAAGATTTTTTTAAATATTTTTTTTATAAATACTTCTATTTTAGGGCAAATGGAAATTAT